CTTCCTTTTTTAAATTTTTTTAAGTTTTTTTAAATTTTTATTTGCAAAAAAAAAAAAAAAAAAAAAAAATCATTTAAGGGTTTGACGTTTAAGGAGCTACAGATATTTTTGTCTCTAGTTCGGGAAAAAAGGTGTAAGAACACAGAAGACGGTCTCTTGGGTTTATAAACCCACAGCCGGTGACTGTCACCCTGAGAACCATGGTCACTGTTTGCTCTGACCTTCAGATAAAGAAACGTCAGCGTCAGTTTCATCCACTTTCCATTCAGTCTCTGAGTATACACAATGTCAACCAAGAACACACATTTTTTTAAAAGCGCGTTTGTGTGCGTGTCTCCAGTCGCCTGTCCCTGGGCACTGATTGACCTATGGGCAGCCCAGGTACAACGCCTGACCTTAATGATAATGTCAAAGATAAAAAAAAAAAAAAAAAAAAATTTATATATTTTTTTAATTAAAATTTAAATCGTAAAAATGAATAGGAAAATCATAGTCATCGACCATATCTTCAGGGAATGAACACTTTTTTCATTACGTAAAAATGTACGATCGCTTTTTTTCTATTGGTCAGCTAAAACCTAGCTGGAAATAAAGCCGTCGTAAATTGCAGTCGTGGTGGAAATTTTTTTGCAGCATGGAAACACTTTCACCTATGAGACATGAGCTGTGTATCTACACTTTGTGCCTGTGCCTGTGCCTGTGTGTGTGTGTGTGTGTGTGTGTGTGTGTGGGCACCGCTTGATGACATCACAAACCACCTTCACCTTCGGTCCCGTCCTTCATTCAAGTGTTGTTTAACATGTGACGGGAGAAAAACAGGTGACCTTGTCTCTTCCGCCGCTTCTTTTTTGTTTCACATTCGCTGTCTTCGATCGTCCCCACTGTTAACAAGATCCTTTATGATGAGCAACAGATGGTAGAAATAGGCGCATTTATATATTTATATATTTATATTTATGCAAAATGTTGGACAGATACCTGACGTACTTCATCACAAAATCAGGTGTGAAACCTAGGGGTTTTTTTTGTTCTTCATCGATATACAGAAAAATATGTTTTTATTAAATTTTAAAAAAATTTTAATTTAATTTTTAAAATTGTTTTTTATTAAAGGAATGTTGATTTACCTCTAATTTTCATTTTTGTTATTAATTACAATAATTACTCGTAATGAATCCACAGCTTAATCTTGACATACCCACGTGTTTTACATTAAAAAAAATATTCCATTTACTGTTATTTATTGTTATTGTTATTAAAAAAAAAGATTTACTTCACTTATGGATTTTTTTTCTTTTATTCCATTTCATAAAAAAAAATAATTTTTTTTTTGAATAGTATTTTGAAAACCAAACCAAAAAATACTTTACAGAGAGTTTGTAGCCTTTACTAATTTCCAACCCTTGTCCTTAGAAGGACCTTTACATAAAATAATTCTGACCATGGATAGATATAAATATTGTTGAAACAACAAAAATCATCCATGAAATCCATCCATTCTTTTTTTATTTGATTTATTTTATCGAACTTTCAGGAGCATCCACGGAGCCAAAACGCACACATAACAACAACTTTCTCTCTTACGCTGACACAGCGAGGACCTCTATTTACGAACCTAAAAAAAGATGACTTAAATTCACATCATTAACCTAGCTTCTATTTGGCAAATGATTAACAGAGGTGGAAAGTAACGAAAGTGTTACATTTACTCGTGTTACTGTAACTGAGTAGTTTGTTTAGTAATTTGTAATTTTTTAAGCAGTTTCGGGAATCGGTAATTTTACTTTTACTTAAGTACATTTTGACTGAATTACTTTGCTACATTTGAAAAGAACTCGTTAATGTGTAACATGAAAAACAATGTGCGTTAATTGAAAAAAAAAACAAACATGTAGCCAGAGAACGTCGACTATCGCCAGTCGTTGGATGATGATATCGGCTAGCGCTTAGTTTTCAAACGCAAACGAGGGAATAACCTCTATATAACATACCTGCGAAAGTATATGGCGGTAAGAAGAGTATTTGTGCTGTTACCTGTGTATCCCAAACGTTATTTTTTAACGTTTGGTTAAAACCTTTCTCCCTCCGTTAAGCCAAATGCCTTCACGTTATCGATTCTTCTTTAGTATTTAGCTTAGCATCCATCCTGATAACCACTATGAGTTTGGTTGGTTTAAGTTTCACTCAGGCAGCCATTTTTTTTTTTTTTTTTTTTTTTTTTAGTGGCTTGAATTCGCAGTACAACCGTTCAAATCTCAACTTCTGCCACTTGTATTTGAATTATTAATTTTTTAATAAATGTTTTAAATTTTTTATTAAAAACAACTAGTCGCAGATTGGATGAAGGACTCGTCCTTTTTTTGTAAAGTAATTTAAAGTGTTAATCAAGTAGATTTTTTTGTAGATGGTACATTACTTGAGTAGAATTTAAGCAAAGTAAAGGTACTTTTACTTAATTACATTTTTTTAGTACGTTTTCTACCTCTGATAATTAATACGACATGGTAATGCTAGTGTAAATGGGAATTTATATCAAATTGGATGAAAAACAAAAATACCTATTTATTTTTAAATTTAATTTCGTAATTGGCTTTGGAAAGTTCGAGATACATTTGAGTTTCTGATTGAGACAAAAATGTAAAATTTAGCATTAGATCATTTTTCACCTTGCTAGCTGATCCGGCAGTGGTTTTAATTACTGCATCATCTGCGTAGAGCTTGTCTTTATTCATTTCCAAAAATTCAAAAAATTGACTCTACGGTGACGGTTTCGAAATATATCAGTAGTTTAAAGCGCAATTGTTGTTGTGAAGCAGGATATCGAAGGGTTGGGATGCTATGACAGTGTTCTGTGTGTGTGTGTGTTTGTGTGTGTTTGTGCCTTTTTGGAGGCTGTGCGCAGCAGCAGCAGCAGTGACAGCCGTGACAGCAGAGCTGCCGAACGTACACTAATAACAGAGTTTTTTTTTTTTATTCTTCTTCTTTTCCTGTCCTTACTCCTGTTTCTGCTGCTCCACTTCACCTTAAGCTAACTCTCCGTCCCCGTCCCCGTCCCCTGTCCCCTTTTGACTCACACTGTTGACGTTCAAACCTTTCTTAGTTAAGTCATTACTATTTGTTTTTTAACAGTTTCCGTTCGATTCCCTGAAAGTGTTCGTCTTGGAAAAAACAGAGCTGATGTCGGTTCGAAGGTGTTTTTTTTTTTTTTAAGCAAATGTCTAAAAATGACATAAAACCCTAGTTCTGACTCTCTCTCTCTCTCTCTCTCGCCTTCTCTTTGTGTATTTGTGCGCTTGCCTCACGAATAAGCAGTCACTTTTACAACGACCTGACAACCTCCTGACAGACAACGGTGACTTTTTTTTTCCCCCCTCTAAATTTTATTTTATTTTTTTTTTTTATGGCGAGCCGCGAGAACATTCTCTCGCTCGAGGGTCAACGGCAGCGATCGCAGCGTTAGTGTTAGCATCAGCAGTTTCAGCACGAGAGCTGAATCCATTAAGATTCCGTGCATTTCACAGATTCGCCTCGAACGTCTTCCCGTGAGAGAAAAGAATGACAGCAAAAAAAATCGTGTGGGGTGCAGAGAATTTATTGCGTAGCTGTGTTAAAATACAAAAAGAAACAATTTTAGGGACATTTTTCAAAGTGTAGTCGTATGAGACACTGACGCATTACTTACTTATTTTCTAATCGCAATGTCCACGGAAGAAATCAAATTCCGCTGCCTCCTCCATCAACTACTTTAAATCTGTCCTGTGCGACTTTTTTGTTCCGATTTATTTCAGTTACACAAAGTGACCACCGGAGGCAACGACAAACCGACAAATGTTTCGTCACTGTCGGCTAACGTCGCCGATTTTCCTCGATATATATATTTTGTCAACGGTGGATGAGCGGTTCGTAAACTTTACTTTCCTGTTCGGGAAACAGCTGTCCAACGACGGGATAAAACCCTGAGCTATTTTTGGTTGATTTCAGCGGCAGCCATGTTTTGACTGCGACCAAACCTATGGTTCAAAACTGGGCATCAGTGGCTCGTAGAATCACACTTTCTACCTGACTTACCTCTGTAGGAACTCTGCAGACGTTGTTTTTTTTTTGTTTTTTTGTTTTTTTTTCCAATCTAACAGCAGCTGCTTTTACCGCAGACCAGAAACCCAGCAGACAATGTAGCTGTAGAATGTAAGCACACAGAAATCTACATTGTATGCCAGGTTCAGGACTCAGCAGTGGTTCGTTCACACGTCCGACGGTTCATCGCCGATGTCTCGACGCGAGGACAAAAGACCATCTCACTGAGGGTAAACTAAAAGAATGACTACAGAAAAAAAAAAGGGCAGGGGAAGTCATTGACAAGGGCTCCTTGTTGTGACACACAACTTCCTGTCTGGGCTGAGTAGAGAGGGGTCACAAGACCCCAGAGCCGAGCCTTCGTGACATCACCGTCCAGCGAGGGCAGATGTGGGTCAGTAACTGGACCATAAAGATTCGACTCGACTAGCCGTCGGAGACCCAGTAGCCAGATGTAGCTGCTGATCTTTTAACAGGATCTACACTGCCTACTGAGCAAACGACAGCTGACAAAGAAAAGCCAGACAGTAAAAATCTCAGGTCGGTTGCACCCAACAGATGAGGCAGATCCAAGTCCACCTGAAAAAGAAAAAAAAAAACAGAGCAAAGTTTAACACTTTAATCATCTACACCAGTGCCCCTAACCTTTTTTTTTTTTTTTTACCAAACATTGGTTGACCGTTCCTAGCTAGTACCACGGACCAGTAGCTTTGATGGTTTTGTATGGTTAAGGCTTGGTACATTTTCAAAATAAAACATGTTTTCGACTTTATTCTGTTAGCATTGGAGTCGAAAAAGACGCATTATTTTGAAAAATGTCGGATTATCCTTGAATAAGGAAAGCAAATTGAAATGACCAAAGCCTGGTACCCAAACAGGTCCACGGACCAGCAGTTGGGCAACCCTGATCTACAGTACTTTATGTGTTTGCACAATTTTTTTTTTTTGGTCATATTTTGCTAGATTTTTAGCTCACTTTAAATTGTCGGTGATAGCAATGCGTCAAGAGGGTGGCGCTGTTTCTTCGGGTGAGTGTAACGCATGCAAATGTTTTCCTTTTTTTTTTCAACTTTCTGGAAATTGAAAATTGAATTGCGGTTTGTATTCCTTGATGCTCAAACTCCAAAATGTAGGCGTGGTAGTTGGAAAGAAGGGGTGGTGTTGGGGTTGTTCGGTGGCTGTAGCTGACGAGCGGAGCCCGAGGGTGGGGAAGGAAGGATATGGGAGATTATCCGATGACGAACATCTATGAACACGGCATTTATCAGCCTCAGATTCCTGTCATTCTTTCCCATTAGCCCTTAGGCATCAGAGCTGCAGCCACCGCCACCACGGCTCCGACAATCAGCTCCTGAAATGCGACCCGAAATGCTGACCCGACAATGATCTTTGACCTTCTGATGCAGGTGATAGGAGGAAAGAAGGGTTTAAGGTTGGAGTTTCAGGGTGGGTTGGAGAGGGATCGACTCAACGCTGACTGGGATCTGAATGCTCATGTAAAACTTAGCTTTCGTTTAAAACAAAAAAAACCCCCATTATTATTATTATTATTATTATTATTGTTGTTATTGTTGTTATTATTAAATTGCAGATAACGAATATTTTTCAGTTTTTTTTTTTTTTTTAGGTTAAATTGACATTTGAGATACTGGCTTACTGCTGCCTCCTGTGGTCAGTATGTGCAACTAGACAAATCTGAGGAAAGGATTACTGATTTTAAACACTGAAGTCAAAATCGAAATCACACATTTAAACAAATTTCGATCTTGGATTCAATTTCGATTTTTTTTTATCATGACATAATTACCAAAAATTAACAATAAGTCAATGTTTTCCCCATTTTTCCATGCAGAAAAGTACAAATATATATTAGAAAATCTTCATATTTAATGAAATATAATTTTAGAAAACATTATGAAGATGAAATGTTTGTGCTTTTTCTACTTTCAAAATTGAAAAGTTTGGTAAAACATAACAAACTATTAGTTTGTAATAGTAATAAATTGTAAACATATGTATTCAATACTGATGTCAGGTGAAAACGCCTCCTTCAATGATGACTTTTTTTTTTGTGCATTTCAAACTAATTCAAACGATTGAAATCCTCATCATGAAAACTCTAACACTTCTAATTTAAAAGAGTCGAACTGATTTTCAAAAATACCTCTTGCCAAATCCTTTTTTTTTTTTTTTTTGGATCATTTTCACCAACTCTTTGGTTTAGACAGGAACTTCAAGAAATCAGGGAGGCATAAAATTAACAAGTGAAATTGACATGTCATAACTAACTGGCATCCTGGCCGGATTGAGCCTTCCTAGCGGTCCGGTTTTGGCCCGCGGGCTGTATGTTTTCCACACCTTGTTTACACTTTCCAAGTATTTTGTGAATTTTGTTTTTCTCAGTAGTCAACCTTAGACCTCATGACCGAACTGATCTGGAGTTCTCAACAAATGATAATCACTTGACTCCAANTCTACCCAAATTCCATCTCAGTGTCACCACAGCATCTGTGTCTGTAGCAGAAAAGTTTGGTGACATTTTTGTCAGAGTCACACAGTTGAGTTGTTTCTTTTTTTTTTTTTTTTTTTTTTTTTAGTATTTTAAGCAGCTGTGACACCCACAAGATTGCACACATAAGTTAGTACCAGGACTTTGGATTGTGAAAAAAAAAACAAACCCTAAAATGTAAATGAACGTCTCATTACGTTCTATTTCCAAAAGTACAGAGGAGTTTACGTGAGGTGAGGCAAGAGTTGCAAAAAAAAACTGGATTTTAGCAGGTCGACAATATGTCTCCCGTTCAATCAAAAGAGGAAACCGCTGATTTTCACTCAACAGTTACAACTGCAGCCGCCATCATTTCAGTTCCTTCGTCCAAATTCACAGCAATGACACAAACTGACCACAAGAGGCAGCGGCAGACCGACCGCTCCTGCTAGCTAAAAATTTCACTTTTCGCTAATGGGGTTTCGTACCGGACTGTCCGAGGAGAGATTTATTTCATTTGTAATTTGTAATTCGAAATGATGCATAGAACAGTTACAAAGACTTGGAGTGAACTGGTTAATGTTTTTATGTTTTTAAGGCGCCTTTTAAAACCTTAGTGGATTCTAAAAGACAGTCAAGATGCACAGTAATGACTAAATGCATCCACTCTATGACATTTGATCATTTTCTACACATTTTTCTATTATAATAATTTCATCATTTGAATTAGTCCCAAAGACAAATGATGACAAATGATGTCCCTGTCCCTGCTGTTTTTTTTTTTTTGTCTCTGTTATATCGTACAGAAAGGGCTTTTTTGGTCATATTTGAGGAAAGTGAATTAATCGTGATTATTTGTGATTCATCCATTAATCAGATTCAACTTGTTTGACAACTTTTATATTTTTTTAAAGGAATTCCTTTCTTACCTGTGCTGGAGTCAGGGTAGGTGGGACGTTTGTTTCCTATAACCTTGTCTTCTAGGGAACTCCCAAACCTAAAATTGAAGGCAATAAACAAGTGTTGCATTAGAGGTGTAGAATTTTTTTTTAAATTTTTTATATGCAAAAGACAGTCATGAAAGTGTAAAAAGGCAATAAACAAGTGTTGCATTAGAGGTGTAGAATTTTTAAAAAAGTTTTTATATGTAAAAGTCAATCATGAAAGTGTAAAAGGCAGTAATACAGAAAAAAAAAAAAAAAATCAGCTCAGGTCCCAGGTGTGAACTGAGCAGGTCCAGTACCCAAAATTCTCAGGAGCAGAGATAAGCTGATAAACTGGGCCATGTCTTATCGCTAATTGTTTTTTTTCCATGCTTTGTTCAGGATGATGCCGCTGCCGCTGCCACTGCTGCCACTAGGTCAAGCTAGAGTAAACCTAGAGTTTTTTCCACTGAAGCAAAAAAAAAAAAAAACAAAAAAAAAAAGAGTCTGGCAGGATCAGATCAGAGACAGGAAGTGAAAGCATGGTTGAAGTGATACCAGCTCGAACATTCCTTTAAACACGCATACACACACATGCAGTATATTATTTATATTTAAAAAATAATATTTAGTATTTTTTTGAGTGGCGCCTTGGCTCAGAGGAAATGTCTCTGTCATCGGTGTGGAACCCCAGGGTTCGAATCCCCCGTGATCTGGTAACGGATAAGTGAATGAAAATTTTTTTTTATCAAATATTTTTGGTAATATTTTTGCGTATTTGTTTCGTCTATATGAAATTTTGATATTTTCAATGAAAGTTTTGTTTGGGATTACGCAAGTCGTTTTTCATGTTTTTAGCATAAATTTGTTAATGCTTGATATTATTTTTGACTATCTGCGAAACATTTTCTGCGAAAAATAAAAAATGAAATATCCGTTTTTGACGATATGGGAGCACATTTTAAAAAGAAATGATGTCATGACGTCATCGTTCATTCAGCCAATTGGTTGGCTGCTTGTGGTTCCGTTTGATGACGACATTCCACATGTGTCTGTCTTCAGCTTGACCAACGCAGTCCCACAAGGGGGCACCCACCACATCTCTGATGTTGCCCGTCCATCCACGTAGCCAAGCATCATCGTCTTTTCGCAGCGACGTTGACTCGCGACGGACCATGAGCCCAAAATAACCCGGGCTGGGCCTTCGGTATGTGTTGATGTTTCGGTTCTTCCATTATGCTAGCATTCGTACATTTTTCTCTCCAAGATGTGCCGAGCATACGCCGCCATGCCCTACATCTCAAAAGCGCTCATCCGGTCTTTTTGTCGCGCCGTCGAAAGGGTCCACGATTCCGATGCTTAGGTAACGACCGAAAAAAAACCAACGCCCTCGCCGATCTCGTCTTCGTATCGATGAGACGAGACGAGGTCATTTTCAAATTGAACTCTCTCTTCCCAAAGTCCATTTGGTTCATCGTTGTCTCGTAGTTACGGAGACATTGTTTCTTTCACATTTTGTCGGTTGTGTCGAGAACACAGTCTTAAGGGAGGCCGCAGGAGGAGTACGAGGTTCGGGAAGGATGAGTGAAGAGTGGGTGAGGAAGAGGAGGAGGAGGAGGAGGAGGAGGAGGAGGAGGGGAGAGGAGGGCG